CGAGTCCCAGAGTGAGCATCAACTATGAGATGCAGGTACATCCAGATCGATAAGTAATGAAAAAAACACACAATCATATTACAAAGTGTGAACGGATTTTATTTAATTAATGACTCATTAAGATTTTTTATATTTTAATCTACCTGTCAACCAGAAAAAAATCTTCGTAATGAATATAGATTCTTTCCTTGAACTCCCACGGCGATCTTTGAGAATACTCGCCTCATTTTTTTGTTGGAATTAGGCATCTAGGGTGAAGATTTGAGGTTTTCATCACGAAGTGACATGATTTATAGAGCAGAAACGTTTTGTGGCCACACAGACGAATAAATTCTAGGGGAAAATCCACGAAGACCAAAATTAGTCAAGTTGGCTCGTATTAGAAGCATAGTACCACCATGTTAATGTTCGTTATAAAAATAAGAGTTGAATGTTAGAATTCGGGGATAAAGTTGACTTTCCTATTACTTACACTCTACATACAAAAATTAAGCATCTGATAAGCAAAAATCTATAAATCATTATCTTGTTTCTGATCGTTCATACTTTTAACTTTAGTTTTCTACACTAGTTCGAATTTTATACTGGCAACAAGAGCATTTCAGTCAGAAAAAAATGTTGGCTTGTTCAGACCAACTATCCAAACATTAAATATATCCATTTAATAACGTGCTTTAATTTGAAATATCCGGAAAATTAATGTTTAAAATTAATTTAAAGTTAAAAACTACAGGTAATCGTTACATTTATCACGTTTTTTTTTCGTTTTCGATTCCATTCATGAAACGTGGCAGACTAAGTGAATTTTATGCATTATGGATTACGGTGGTGAAAATGATTCTTACACTGTTATTGTTTCAACTAGAGTTCGCATATTTAATTTATTAACTAAGACTAATCTAGTAATAAGTATCATATAATTACGCGATATTACTAATTATCTAGCAGTAACTGAAAAATAATTGACAAATGATTTATACAGCTCTAGCCAATCATCACACTTAGTAAATCCTAGAAATCCATGTATTTATACACTTCGCTGAGCTGTTTCGCCAAAATTCGAGTAAATTTCTTACAGCTTTTATGGTTTCAATGGTCGTTTAACAACAGATAGATAACTATTGGATTATGCATCTTATATACGTCTCCAGTGATGTTAAAACGTTTCACTCACCATGATTCATAATGTGGTATTGTAGTGAACAAGAACACAGGTAGGGGACAATCGAATGTCTCAATCTTGGCTGTTCCTTCTGTAAATATCAGTCCATCTTCTCTGATCTCATTATTCATGCATTATCATATCGATCGCGCTTCCTTCTTGTTCTTTCCTTGTCAATCTTCTGCCAAATTACATTCTGTGCCTGCCTTTCACCATATACTACTTACGTGGATATAAATAACCCACACCAGAGTATGATATGATAAGTTGGCTATGAGAGCAATATCAAAAAGTTTAATTCATCATATTTAATACATTTTATGACTATTATTGACAGGTTCAGTGGAAATGAGTTTAATCTGTAAATGATTTGCATGACTGAAACCCATATCATGACAAAATAGTTGTTCAGTACTGAATGTTCTTCAGTGGTTGTTTAGTTATAATCGCCTCATGATTTAAATTTGATGCATGGTATTTTAAAAAAATCGATAGAATCTACCTTTGATTATGTTTATATATCAGGAAAATGTATAGGTGCTAAGTGATTATGTCGCTCTATCTACCCATATATATATGTCTAAAAGCATTGTCATTGAGCCATTAGACTCACTGAGAAATGCAAATAAATTATAATCTTTGAGCACTCATTCAATGATGGTTATTTAAGAGATGGAATAAATTGTCGGAAAAGAAATTAAATCTGGTTTTTTAGGATTAGGTGAACTGGAACATGAATCACATTTTTAGACGAGCCACATAGTTGTTATTTGACCACTATATATATCATAAAAAAAGACAATAATTTTATTGGAAAAACACAATGTTGTAAGAAATTAAGGAGATGTGACGTAAATATTGAATTTTGGTGTACTATCATGTCTATTTTCGATAATAAATCGATTGATTTACAAGTGATAATAAAATAAATAAGTCAGTTCACCGGTTACCTCAACAAGAGTTTGTTATTCGACCAAAGTTCATAAAATAAACACTAGTCACTATAATACAAAATATAATTTCAGTAAATAGTTCGTTAACAAAATATTAAAACAAATGAAAACTAAACAAATAATTTATTTATCGAATATCATGGGTAAATACGGTGAATATAACTGCTGGAACAATAAAACTGGTCGATAAAGTTGATACGAATAAATGCGAAAGGGTTCCAGACATTATTCCTACCTTACACCGCTTCAAGTAGGAATTCAATAATTCCTTGATTAGTAGGGCTGAACAATGTCCACATGTGAAACGTCTATTCACTCATTGTACTAGATTATGTTTGGTTATTATTTCAAACTGGTTGGAATTGTGTCTGTAAATAAAAAAACAAGTCCAGTTACAATTTTCAGCAATGGTCTGATGTACATAGAAAAAATCAAAGATGACTTATAATTTCTTAACTTAACTAAGTTTTATTTTCGTTTCTTTTGTAGTAAAAGTACACTGGATACGCGCTTCAAAGTGAAATATTTCTGGAAAAGCATATTTCTCGTAGGTTTTACATTCGTTTAAGAGTACTGAAATATATGACAATATTCTTTATATAAACAGACTGATTATTCTGAAGTTTCTAATTTTACCATGTGTATACAAAGCTTTTTGTTATTTTAAATCTTCCCAAAGTTTATGAAACCTTAGAGAGGATATCTCTCAACATGATGTGTCATTCAGTTGCACTTTAAAGTATTGAGCATTTCTTGAAGAAAATCAATATATTTTACTGAGTATTTGAGCTTTGTCTATATTGTGCGATAACCATTTCTCATATGTAACATTCATCTCTCACCAGATTATGTTCATCCTTCGCAGAATAGTTGAATTTTTATTAGCCTTCGATCATAATTAACGGTTTCTAAAAGAAAAATACTGTGGTGTATGTCACCTATGTAGACAGATATAAGTAGTATGTAACACCAGTAAGATGTGGAATGCCTGGCACTAGAAGGTTACGAAGACCGAATTGAAGTAAACGCGAATGTAAACAGAGAGTAATTATAATAGCAATGAAGGAACGATGAAGTTTGAGATAATTGATGGGAGATTTACAAATGAAGTATTGAAAGTATGGTTTTCACATTTTAGGAAAGAATTCTGTAGTTTTGCATCGAATAATAAATTGGTTGACCTCACCTAAGTTCTCATTGATTACGATACTACACTGAAACGCAATACTACATCGACGAACACATATAATTTTTTATTCAGTAAACACGTTATTATCTACAAAATCTTGAAATACTTAGTTAATTTCAATCATATTTCCTTAATTATAATAACTAACATCAAGTTAGGATGACAATCTGCCGAGAATTTTTGAATTACTGTTACCATTTCATTACTAATGACTGATAACTGGAATTATGGTCGTTTGAATCTTATGAGAAATGAAAGTTCACATAGTTTACCTTTCTGACCACTTTTAAATATTCATAAATCAGGATTCAGTGCAACAATATCGATCAGCTACAGCCATCAAATAATTACATGTAGTTCTAGGGATATGATTTTACATAGAGTTAATAGTGATGAATCGAATTTTACCACCACCGTGAATGCGATGATATGCCATCGATTCAATAAGTGGACATTTGCAAGGTTTCTTTTGAATGAGTACCTAATACATGAAATAATTGTTCATTCATTTAAATTGGACTCTCGATCAGGATGCTGTAACCAATCGAGTCATATATTCATCAGCAGTACTGAAAAATGGTTGCAGAATATCAAACATTGACTGAAGTTAGATAGGATAGGTGATCACCGCGAAACTGAAAACCCTTCAGTTATATTTCTGTTGTGGTCATGGCTCTACACAACTGAAGAGCTCCACAATAGGACGAAACGGTTATTCAGTACTAACTAATTTTCAGTAATTTTCTGATCAAAGTGAATTCGTAATACAAACCATAAAATGAAGTAATTCAATCAATGAAATAATTGAGCTCGTTTATCTTCATTAAACAGTTATTTGTCTAGATTAATCACTTACTGTCTTAACATTAACATCATTAAAGAAAAAATAGACTTATCATATTTCAAAGTTGAAATCATGAGTCAATTGAAGCTAGACCACCATCGAGAATCTGAAAGCACTGGACGGCCGTTTCGTCCTATTATGGGACCCCTCAGCAGTGCGCACCCACGATCCCGCACCCGCGAGATTCGAACCCAGGACCTACCAGTTACGAGCCAGATCCCTTAACCGATAGACCACTGAGCCGGCCGGTATCCAACGATGTTAATGTCTAACTTCAACTAACTTCAAACTTATCATATATTTATTCCTTTTTGAGCTGAAATTCAACTAGATTAACAGAGTTTTCAAGTTTTAAGACTAATTCATACTATCCATCTTTGCTTAACATGCTTATGAAATAAGACTATATCGAGACAGTACGCACACTATGCACATATACCAATAAGAGACTGATCAATTGCAGTCGTAAACATCAATTGGAAGATTCAAACAAAACAATACTAAGTGAACTAATTCACATTGTTTTATTCATTTAGTCTTTATTATCATCATAGTTAATAATAATGATTTCAATAGTGAAACATTTTCTCTGACTAATTTCCCAACTGTACTTTAAAAATGAGATACAGATATATATATCTCAATTATAGACTAACCAATCATACTTTAGTGTGGGTGTACATATATCTCTCTCTATATATTTATTATATATTATCTTTAATATATTTAAAATTATAATTGAGACACAAGATCAATTAAAATTTATTAAATAAATTCCATTGAAATATAATTAAATAATTTAATTACTCGAGAAAAGAAAACAATAAACGAAGAAGAAAAAAAAACTGGAATATGTCGACAAACACAACAGTAATAAGTGAGTAGTATATTTGAGAAACAACGAATGATACTCAATTGTTTGGGTTTTTTTTGTTTTTTTTATATCAATTTGTTATTGAATTTTGAAAGTTTATCTGATTATGATTAGAAAAAAAGGAGTGTAGTTTCTATGACTGCGTTCATTTTTGTTTAAATGTGTCATTTCATTGTTTAGCGGTTTCAGGTTTAAAATAATTTTTTGAAAAATAAGTTGATGTCGACAATTTTGCGAATTTTTTTTTGGTAATGATGTAGGACACAGGTAATTAAGATTTAATTTTGATTATTATCCTGAAGAAGTCCAGACAAGTTAGCTGGACGAAACGTTGGAATCACTTAAATTTCAGTTGCTGAGATTATTTCAGGTATAATTTTTCACACATAATGACTTCTCTATACTCGGCGCCCAATTTTTGTCAAGCTATTCATTCTAACCTTGACGAATATTCGTATATATAATTAAGATTGTTGTGTTTCATTTTATTATCGTTATAGTTTACTGAAATCATTTATTCAATGAAGGTTATAACTTTTGAACTGGCTAGCCAGTATGTAATGGGTAATATTGTATTTCTTATTCTAGTTTCAGTACAAGAGAAATATCAGTTTATTCAATATTACAGATATTATTTGTTGTTAAATGATAAATGGTATAAAATCTAGGTTCAGATTATCAGCGATCAATCAAATAATCACCTTTCAAGAAAATGAAATGTTTATATATTTTGAAAACAATGTGTGATCTTCTAGGGAGTTGATGACATATGTAAGATAATTAAGTTTCATTGACTATCTGGTATAATTTTTACAGGTCATTCCTTTAAAACTTTAGTGATATTAAAGGACATATGATGAAAACCGTAAGATAGAAATACTACTACTAGTAGTAGTACAAACAGGGTTTACTCTTAACATTTGGATAATTTAATTCAACTGTTATACAATTTATTCATGATAAATATATGGATGTTTATTAAATATGTGTTGCCGCTATATTCAGATGCTTTATGCTCTTATGATAAAGCATTTTCCATTTATCTACTAAAATCTATACTCGTTGAAAGTTTAAGTCATGAGAATGTGTACTTTATATGTAAAAAGACTATTTAACTGCATAATATATACTTTCAGGAGAAAATAATCATTTTAATTCAATTTTGTATTGGTTGTTTGAATCTTTGCATTGATGTTTAGGACTGCGTTTAACAAAACGCACATATACCAATATGAGACTGATCAATTGTAGTTCTAATGATCGATAAGAAGTTTTAAACAACCTTATCGCACAAGCTAGTGACTATCTGGACTCATTAGCTGAGTAGGTCACACGATGGAGTTTGAAGTGAACGGTAAACATCAACTCTAGAATGTAGATACATTCAACTGACGAGTTCCACAAGGGACGAAATGTCTATCCTGAATCCCACTGATAGCCACTATCCATCTCTGTTTAAAAAAATAATAATTGATTCTAGGAATGAGGTTTTGAGGCTTTGTTGCCTGTGTTAGTTTAAACATGTTTTAGGTATTTACAATCATTGAGACACTTTTAAAACATCTTACTGTCGGTTTTAGCATTGAATGAATTGTTAGATTGCTAACAATGGATTTTAAAGTTAATGTGGTTTAATCTCTCCAACTTACTTTTACAATTAAAAGTAAAATGCTCACATTTTTTGCATACGTTTTGTTATCAGTCAAATATAATTTACTATATAATCAATCTCATTTCGCGTAGGCTTCAGCTCCAGAAAAATTATTTTAAAAACACAACTAAACTAACCTATGTAACAATATATCATACTTTGTTTCATGTTATATGTTTGAAGAAGGCACTTCATGGTTATCATAGATTTAAACTCTATATAATCTTTCATTTCTCGTTAGAAAGATGTTTACAACATTGATAAAGATATCAAGATATTCAAACTGTCACATTCAGTCAAGACTGTTGAACTTATTGTCGCTGGCATTAATTAGTAAACTATTGATGTTATTCTGTCACTGAAGAGTTTTTGATTGCATAATTCACAGTGTTGATAAAATGGTGTCATTTCAATAAATTAACGAATTTCAAAATCGTCTGAATAAAATTTTAACAACTTCCATTCAAAAACTTATTTAACCTTTAACTCAGACCCTACTTTAATGTGTTTGAATAATAATTATGAAAATGGGGATTTGTGAAGATTGTAGTATTTCACCAGTTAAACTCATTGGTCGATCTTAACTAGACTACCATAGGACTCCTCAGCAATGTGCACCCATGAGTCCACATGAAGGATACTATGAAGAAACGGTCGTTCAGTGCTTACAGGTTTATAAAGGTGTTCTAGCTAAGATCGACTTGTGAATTGAACAACTATGAAGTTCAAAGTAAAAACTTCCATTTTTTTAAATTCTCTAACTGGAGTTTTCTGTCAACCAAATTCTTAGTTGTTTTTTTTAAAAAAACGCTTAGTATTTAAACAACTGCTAGTTTATTTATACCCTACAAGTTGATAAACAAAAAATGATATTCTGTTGAAAAAAAAAATCTTTGTATACAAACAAAAGTGTATGAATCAAATGTGTAGGTGTGTGAATCAAATTCTATTTTTAGATTATAACTTGATGGAATAATTTGTTGAACAAATTCAATCATGATGATTCACTATTTATAATATTTATGCCAATAGATCTCTATCAGACACATATCGTTTATTGGGGGGCTCAAAAGTCATTTGAATTACAAATGAAACAACAACTTATTAAAGCATACAACAAGTTGAAATGTCTGTATACATCATTCTAGTATAAATTTAGTCGTTGAGGCGCTGATTGGTTGAAATCGAGCTTTGAAAGATGTTTCGGACTTGTCGGCTTTCGTCAATGGGGGTACTTGAAATATTAAAGGAGTCCATGGAGTCTGGGACGTTACCGCTGAACTCCTATAGGATTCAGACAAATGCAACTATTTGATCATAATAGGGTACCTAGTGTCATATGTGTTTACTCTTTTAGCACTAATCGATTTCTATCAATTGGTCACTAGCTTAATTGACTAGACATCGCGTGCACTATATTGGGATTTTACGTTTTTGGAGGATATTTGCGGGAAATTCGACTGTTACTTTTTTGTGATCAAAATGCACTGTTGCAAATGAAGTACTGTGGATTAACTTTAATAATTATAACGAATCATCATATGCATTATTTAAAATACTTTTAATTATGGGTTCATGTTGTTTCTACAATTTTCACTTTGAGAAAATGAAGCCCGAGTAAATTACTATCTACAAACCAAAATAAATTATATACTATGAATATAGATACACATGTATATGAATCATGGGATGAAAATACTTTACATTTGAAGTTAAATATCCATAAATCCCTGTTCCATAACAACAATTTCTTGCCAAAATGAAAAACCCTTTTAGTTTCTTCTCTGTACTGAATGGTACTGTATTAGTAGTAATAAGAATAATGAAATACGTAAACGTTCCTATCACTTGGTCAATATAGGAAGAAGACCAAACTTAGATAACTAGACTTTAATATAATCATCACAAAAATTATTGGAGTTACGTAATGTAAACTGTAAATATTATGTAAATCGCGGCCGGCCATGGAAGGGACACGGATGCCATGAATTTCTTCTGAACATGTAAGCTTAAGTTATAAGTTCGGATCCCGAGAGCTTCTGCTCTATGAAGCAGACGGGATAGAATCTCATTAGGAAATGAAGGAGGTATATAACAGGTTGCTCGAAATGATTTGATTTTATCTACCAGTCTGTGCACAACCGATCCTTACGGAATACAGCCTGTTGGTTTCGAACATTTATTTAAAACATAGATATAAATTGAGAATTATGAGTTTACTGCATATATTAACAATATTTAGTATTCCGTTAACAGTGGGATTCGGACAAGCATTTCACTCTGTTTGGTACTTGTCAACTGGATGTACCTGTATTTCAGTAATGATACTTACACTGAGATTCGAACCAAGTGTTATTTCACTTCAAACGCCAACATGTTCTCCGTAGACCTAATGAGTTTCGATAGGAGTTAATTTGGTCAGTGGGTATATCGAAATTAGTATGGATTTGAGTATTCCCACTATTGATATTCAGAATTGTAAAAGGGTAGCCTGTTACCATTTGTGCATTTCGAATAAAATAGTAGTTATATCGACTCAGTAGATCAGTGAATAGAATATTGGCGTTTGAAGCGAAAAGGCATTAAGTCTGAGTCTCAACTTGAGCATTGACATTCAGGCACAAGTTTATTTACCTGACAAGTACCAAACAGGATGAAACTTGAGTCCTAGACTGCAATACTAGTCATATAACAAAATACTGAAACTTGTAACTAAAGGTTCTGAAAAGGCAATCCACTCAGGATGTATATATACCGACAAGAACTGTTTGATTTCAGTTCTGAATATCGATTAAGGAAATTAAGAGCACCTAATAATACATATGTCACAGTTTGTAAATGTTTGTAATTGGTTCGGATCTAATGTGCAACTAGATCATGTTGTAAGTCAAATGATATTATGAGAATAGTGAGAAGAATACACATACTAGTAACAAATGATAAGATCAGCAGTTATTAGTTAGTATTCATAACTCACAAGAATTTGTTAATGTTATATCCGAATGAAGAACAAATGAATGGTAAATGCCAGGAGTTATTAAGGACTATTGTTATATATATTCATATTAGATACCTAGTAAGTAACTAGGTTACATGTATTTTCATATTCCTTTTATCATAAGCTTTCATTATACGATTTATTATTCTTAATTTATTTCTAATCTATTAGTTACGGTATCCTATACTCGCAAACACTTTTGACTTGATCTTGAATAATTATTATTTTTGAATTTATGGTGTGATCCGATCTGGTCTGTTTGTATGCCTGTAAGCATGCCTGAAATATACAATTCACACAGAGGAGGCTGATATTTTTGTTCTGGACTGAACGGGCTGTGATAGGCTAGAAGTT